AGCTAGAAGACAGAGTCCCTGTTGGGCTTGCCCCAGTGCTGAAGAGGCCTCCTTCCCCTCCCTCTTTGGAAATACTATTCTAGAGTGTGGCTGCTGCTTTAATATTCTGCCCCTGAAGAGTATTGATCAGTCAATTCTGAGGAACGGGGTCAGAGGCAGGCAGGGGCACAGTTCTGATGGCAAGTTCCGAACTTCTAGAGCTCACTTAGAAGACAGCAAGTGGATTTGTTACTGGTGTGCCCTGGCTTCCCTTTCCTTACTAAATCTGCTTAGCACTGATTGGTCCACTATGACCAGCCACTGAGAGGTCTGGATTACCACCAACTCCCCGAATATCTAAATGAAACTTATGACTCTCCCTCTTTATCAACATACAAACAATCTGGTAAAGTTTGAAGGAAAAACTATCAAATAGCCTCAGATTGCAGGTCAACAGTAACCTTCCTGTGAACACATAGACAGGGTTGAGGAGAGAGCGTGAGGAATAACAGAAAACAGTAATCTTACAGAATTGTACATACCTAGGAAGGATGTTAGAAAGAATTCAACTTCGCTAATACTATAAAAGAGTTTGCCAGAAGAAATTGAAAGGGAATTTTTAAGCTATATTATTTATGTATTTTTGTGTGTGTATGGTGGGGGCATGGCACACACGTACCATGGCACATGTGTGGAAGCTGGAGAACAACTTCCAGGGGTTGGTTCTCTCTCGCCACCATGTGGGGCTTGGGGATCAGACTCAGGTGATCAGGCAAGTGTTTGTATTCCCTGAGCCTTCTTGTACACTGTCACTGGGTTTAGCACAGTAAAAAGTTAAAAGTGGAAATCAAAAATGATAAAGTTCCTTTCCCTACAAAAGATTTACAAAATCAAAACAAACACTTGTAGGATTAGAGTCATCGTTCAAAGGTCTAAATTTAGACTTTTTTGTCTGCTGTCCACAGCCAAGGGAAGAAACCAGATGTTTCTAGTCATCTCTTATTTCCTTCTTTTGTGGCTCTCAAGGGTTTTCTTTCTTTCCTTTTTTTATGTTATGCTTTTTAAAGTCTGTTTGGTAAAGTTTGAAGCATATCAGCTCTATTATAGTGACCACAGCTGCTTTGTATACACTGAGTCATGTTCACCTGGTTCCCATCATTGCTAGTTACCCACTTCTTTTTATCCACACACTCACTTGGATATGAAGGAACGGCTGGAAGATTTTTCACTCTTCTGCTTACTTCAAGGAACCTGTCTTGTGACTTTTAAGTGCAGTGCCATCTTAGCTGGGTATAATACTCTTGACTCATACATTTCTGTCCTGTGCCATTGTAGCCACTGTGTAGTTTGAGTGTTAGTAAAGAGGCATCTGAAGACTCAATCTCTTTCCTGGCTCTTGTCTTGGACTGCTTGTTTGTTCATATCAAGACAGTCTTACGCATTCCAGGCTGGCTAAGGACTTACTTATATAGCTGTGGATAACCTTGAATATCTGATCCTTCTCTTCCCACCCCTCCAGTGCTGGGAATACAGTTGTGTGGCACTATGTAGGTTTTTATTCAGTGCTAGGGATCAAATCTAGGGTCATTCCCAGCTAGGGTGGATTGACTGTCATGCACAAAATTTTAATTGTCACAATTAAAAATCTTCTAAGATATGATTTAGTGTTGAAAGATCTGCCTCTGCCCTGAGAAAAACCGAGTGCTCTTTCAATATATAAACTGTTTTTCCTTTATTTTAGAGCAATGCTTCTACAACACATTTGATACCTTTTCTAAATACATTCAGTAGCTTCTCAATTGAGGAATGTCAACAGTAGATTGATCACTTTCTGTATCATTTGCCATTTCTGTCATTTCTTACCTTTTTCTGTTTGCTGTAAGGACCTCACTGTAGTCAGAACGTTTTCTCTGTGTTATTCTGTCTTTTGCCTTTTAAAAAAATCACTGTGTTTTCTATTGTGAAGGTCTGATCTGGGGAGTTGTTTATCTTGTTTTCTTTGTAATTTCCGTACTTAGAGATGTTGAGAACATGCTCTGTCCTTGCCATGTGCTTTGGGAGAGACAGTGGAGGGAAACAAAGTTGTGAACATCTTCACAGATCTGCCCAACAAGCATCCTCAGCTAGCTCTGAAAGTAGTTCTGTGTTTATCTCATGTCCCATTCCTAATGAACATGGAAATATATTTGGGGCTTTGTCTCTCTTTTTGTTTTCCACTCACACCTCTCAGACTCCTTTCCCCAACACACAGTTGTAGGGCTCGAATAAGGATCTGTTCACAGAAAGCTCTTTCTTCTAGAAGAGTCATTATTTTACCCTAGGTTTTTCCTTCACAGTGATGTCTGGTCATGGAGTACAGGAGAGTAAAGGAATGGTTAACCTAGGAACAACAGTCAGGAAAGCAGAAGCCCCTCTACTATGGAATGGAACAGAGTTATGGATGGAAGAGATGGATTACACAGCCAGACAATTGCACTTTACAGGACAAAAGAGTACACGTTACCCAGGAGGTTTAGTAAGCCTACTAAAAATAGACACGGTGGATAAGGAAGTGACCGCAAGATGAGCACCAGCAGTGCATTCTGTCAGCCCTAGGAGGAGTGACGAGCTGGAGGCTGCAGAGATGAGCAGCTGTAGCCACAGGGTAAAGTGAGAAGCCATGGCAGTGGGTACCAGCTGGACAATGGAGAAGATCCACGAGATGCTGCAGAAGCAGAGAGAGAGCCTTCGATTACCTTTCAACTGTTCTTTAGTCTTTTACAATCATTCCACCAGTCAGGCCTCCCTGACTGAGGGCTAGTCAGCAGGGAACCAGTCTCTCCACACTTGCTAACCAAATAGTAGTTGCAGAGATTAAGACCTTGAAGTAAAAGAAAGGATTGTTCACAATGTTGGCTCTCTAACTTCTGTTGTCTGAGATTAATAAGAAATCAGTCTTTTGTGTATAATCTAATTAGGACTTTGTTGCAGAAATATTGCTTTCTTGTTCTGTCTGGCAGGTTAGGGCCAATGATTCAGAGGCGAGCCTTTATCTTGAGGGTGTTTCTGCTGTAAGTTCTTCATTGCTACCATCTCTATATCCTCCTTTACAACAATTAGATAAGTATGTCCCATAGTGAAATCAACATGCTTGTTCATATTTTCCATCTTCAATATTCTTCCTAGGGGGCTGGAGAGATGACTTGTTAGTTAAGAGCATTTGCTGCTCTTGCAAAGGACCCAATCTTGGTTCCAAGCACTCATATAGCAGCCCTCAACCACCTGTAACTCCAGTTTCATGTCTACACAGGCATCTGTACTTACCTGAGTATATCCTTCACAGGAACACAGACACAATTCAAAATAAAAAAATCTCAGAAATTTACTGATTTTTCTAGACTTATCCTCTTAAAGAGAATTATGGTGGTGGACAGACTTAAGGATGCTCAACTGACCTCAGAATGAGACCCGAGTATGGCTTAGCTAGACAGGCCTCAGATGATCAAAGGCAGTGTTCTCACTTGGAGTTGGGGACCAAACCTTATACTACAGAGAGAGCCAAACCTCTGAGTTGTACCACCAGCCCTATCACTTCAGCCCTGTGAGCCTTACTGTGGATAATAGGGAGCTGCAAAGTAATGCAGCTATTAGTTTAAGTCACTCAATTTATAAAGATTTGTTAGAGCAGCAACAGAAAACTAGTATCTTAAGGTCGTTACCCCTTCTCCTGAGGAAAAAAACCAGGCTAGGACGATTCAGCCAGAGTTACAGGAAACATAACTGTTAGTGGGTGAGCTGACTCTAAGTTCGACAGAATTAATGTGCTGTTACTTTTCATGTTCAATTTGAACTGCTCTAAGAGATTAGCTTAATACTTAGAGACAATCTGTCTGGGAGTTAACAGGAATTTGAGTGAACCGTGTTGTCTCCGAGTCTCAAGTGTCCCAGGAGCTCTCCTAGAAACAAGAGAGAAGACACCTTGAGCTTCATGAATATACCCCTCTCTCCACCTTTTTAAGAACATCAGCTCAATTCTGGCCAAGAGCCAAGCACCTTTCAGAGTATGGGCATGTGCAGTTAGCTCTGTGGGTGCTTTATTTGCTGGCACATCACAAAAGAACACTGTGGACTGCTGGCACTCACTTCTGGAGTCTGGGAGTCCAAGATTAAGATCTGGTGGAACTGACTTTGTGGAGATGCCATGCTCATGAGCGGGTCTCCGCACAGGCCTCATCATGTGTGCATCGTCACGCTTGGGTAACAGGTCAATTTTGTTTATAACAAACTTTAAATGGAGCCCCTCTGAGCACAAAGGCTATTAAGCAGATCTTCAGAAAAGCTAAAATGAAAACAAATGTTTATCTTTACATCCAACATTTGTGCATACAAGACATTTCATTGTTAATTAGATCTCAAATAATAATAGTTACAGGATAAAGACATGCCCAGAATTTTATTGGGGGGGGGATGGGAATTTGTACTAAGTAAGCCCTGATAATGACTAAAAAACTTAGCACTGGAAACAGAAAGAATCATGTTAGAAAATGCATTAGTATTTGTACATGTTTGCAAAGACCATGAAACAGAATTGCAAGCTATTAAAACAATGACCTAAAACTAGTAATTTCTCCAGGCAAACTGCTGCTGTAGCCATACGTGCTGAACCGCGCTGAACCATGAAGTTTAACCGTAAGGGTAGAGGTGAGCTCCTTCCCACGAGGCCCTTAAGAAGCTCCCAGCTCACTGCCAATGAGAGTGAGGGCCCCGCAGCACCAAACTTGTACACGTGAGGACTTCCACTGTCAGGAGTCATCTCAAGCCAAAGTAGGAAGACTTCTTAGCAACACCAGGTTGTGCTAAGCAGTGTCACAATGAAGGTCTAATTTGAATAGACTGTTGCTCATTCACACTTTTATTGCTCGGGGTGGGGGTGGGGTCTCAGCCCCAAATGTTTGAAAGTTAGGAATCCACAGCCATTTCTCACATTGGCAGAAAAGAAGTCCGGGATGAGGGGCACTGGACAGAAGACTCAACAGCTTTTATCCTTTGAAGATACTTTTAATTTTGCGGTTATTGATGAATTAAAAAACACATTTTCAGCATTTCCTAGCTATAATAGCGCATAGGAAACTGCACTCTAAACGAAGAACTAATTAATGAAATAACACACCTTACGGCTTACATTGAAAGCTTACAGTTTACAAGGTGCCTTTACATATACATTATTTCATTTGATTCTTACAACAAGCAGAAGGAAAGAAAAACAGTCAGTGGGAAAAGATAGTCAGCTATTTTTAGGCTTACAATGAGCTTTTTTTTTTTTTTTTAAAGACCAAGGGGCAATCAGTACAGGTACATACCAAGAACAAGACAGCAATACCCATAAGCCACGGCATCTTTTTGGTAGGCTGACAGTTTGATATCAAGTGTATATTTAGCGTCAGTGAGGGAGTAAGGGATGGCACAGACAAGGCCTTTATGATAGTCGAAGGATTTTCAGCACATTGTCAGAGGTAAGAGGAGGATGCACAGAAATGTGTCACTGTACAGAAGCATGATGTCCCTTGGGAATATTAGCTAAGGAGGGAACCCTGACCTAACTTGGGGAATCAGAGGATCCCACAAAGTGCCTGTTCCTGCTCCCTGTCTGCACTTGATGCCACTCCAGCAAAGCTTCCCTCTCTGTCTAGGGCTCCGTCCTACTCAATGCCATTTCTTGATTTACTGGGCAAAACACCATTTCTTCTGTCTTACATAATATAATTTGAATAAAATACTGGATTTTGCCACCAATGTACTATTTCAAGTTTTTAAAGAAAATCTTTTCAGCGGTGGCTAAAAATGGAAATTTTAGGCATGTTAAAAATATTCCAATTTAATGTACTTGATTAGTCAGAAATAGACCCCTTGACACAGCTGATGGCTTGCTCATGTACTTCAAACAGAGACGGTAAAATGGAATGGCTGAGAAGCCCCAGAAACCAACAGATGCCTAGGAGTCATCCACCTGGGCAGATTCTAGCTGGGTACTAATAATTTTATAGAAAAAAATATTTTTAGGATTCATAGAAATCTGTTCAATTTTTGAAAACTAAATTATAATAATCAAATTGTCATCCCCACAATTTATTCAAATAATTTTACAATAATATACAACAACGCTACCAGAGAATTTGTAGCATACATAGAACACATGATTAGCATGTTCTTGGGTTTAAATGAAATAAAAAAGTAAATAAAGTATTTTATACAAATGATGCTTTTAATTTATTAACACGATGATATATCTTTGTTACATAAAACTTGCTACAGCAGAGTATTTCAATTTTTCTTGCACATTTTAAATACAGGTGGGCCGACTGAAATCATTATTTGTTCTTGTGGGACATTGTCATGCAGAAACACCTGACAACCAAAACACATGCAGACAGGAGGAGAGAAGGTCTCAGCTAGGACTTTTAATGTCTTCAAGGGTTTGGTGGGTGTGTGTGTGCATATGAAGGGTTCAGTGAGGGTGTGTGTGTGTGTGCAGAGGATCATGAGTGCTGTCAATGACCTACCTGCACCAGCAAGGAGGCAGATAGAGAGGCTCTATATACATCGGGGTTTGTTTGACCTAAACTAATCTTAGATCCTTGGAGATCGATCATGAAATGAATATTTTAGACTATTTAGGTGAGCGGATTATTTAAGGTAGGTCACTGATACAGAGATAAAGTGAGATGAGAAAATTAAAAGTAATGAAAAGATAGTAAAAACAAAGTTAAGCCATTTATTCACAAAGGAACACTGAACTAAATAAATGTGCAAGAGTGCTTGAAATCCCCTCATGATGGCAACATTGTTAAGTCAATTGGCAAAAAGTATAGAAAACTTAAGGAAAAGCAAGTATGAAAACTGTATCTGCATGATCATATACTCTGTGTATGAAGGAGAAAGGTTAGCAATCCTGACGTACTTAAAGATATCACACCTCAAAATTAAATACAAATGTGGCAGTTTCTTAAGCTTTGCGTTCTCCTGTCACTGGCCAGGCAGGGAAACACGTCAGTCAGTCAAGGCTGCAACAGTGCCGTCTTCTTCCCTCAGAAGAGGAAGCAATACCAACTGCTTTGCTTTTGTTCTTACCTGTTACCAACCAAAGCAAACAGCAAAGTTCTCTTTAAGGAGAGAACCTTTAAGCTGCAAGCAGGGATCCAGGCTTCTGCTGACTTAGCATTTATCCAAGTCCATGTCTGCTCATTTCCCTCGAGAACCCACCGATGAGGACTGTCTGAGAAATCTCACAAAGTGTCACTTATCAGTCACACTTTCCTGAAATACTGGCTAAAGCCCCCACGGAAAAGCGAAGGCTTAGAAACCTTAGACCTCTCTCCTAACCCAGAGACGTGGTACCAAGGGAGACAGCTGGGGGGAGGAGCCACGTCGCTCACTTTTCCTGACAAATGAGGCATCTGTCTGGTCACTTAATGTCTCATGGAGAGAAGACTATTAGAAGGCCAAGGGGAACAAAGCCTCTTGTCCAGGAATCCTACTGCCCGTCTAGGTGCTCTGACTTACTGCTACATCAGTGACCCCTGAAAAGTTATCTTCATTTATGCAAATTCTCGTGCTGGTAAGACATTCCATCTTCAAAATTACTAAGAGTTTTGGCAAAACTGAGTCCAAGCTACTCAAATAAAAATAATCATTAGAGAGTTTATCTTCAAGCCACTGGTCAGCAAAAATATCGCTCAAAACTACAAAAAGCAACATGTAGCTTTCCTTTTAAATATCACACAGCCATAACACTGCCCATCTGAAACACCAAGGAACTAAAGGAGCACTGGTCAGAGAAGTGAATGAGAAGGATGTAGGAGGGTGGAGAAAAACCAAACCAGGAGGACGCGGTGTACACCGAGTTACGGCACACACGATGCTGCGGAGCGGTGCCTGGGTACACAGGTGGTTGCAGAGCGCACACTGATGACGCAGGAAAGACCTCACGCAGTTGCTGGAATGAAGGGATTGGAACCCGCTCCAACAAGCAGGTCTCGGCTGGCTCCACCTTCCACCTCCACAGCGTGCAAGGACTGAGTGTGAGCTCGGGGCAATCTTTCTCCTCCCTAAAATTCACAAAATTCCTTTCCACATTTTTCTGTTATAGACACACGGATTTCTTCTTCTTCATAGTCATCGAAGTTGCTGGTATCGCCAGAGCCTCTGAACTTTGGTATGAATGGAGCCTCAACCTGTGATTGACATCAGGAGGAACATAAGAGGAAGAGCAACTCAGACACTTTCAAACACTGAACAATGAATTCCCAGCATGGATCACTCTGGCATCTTTAAACACAGTGCTTGAAGTTTGATCCACTGGGAGTTAGCTAGAACCTCACATTTTCATTTGAGAACCCCAGCCAAACACTAGTGTAGTTTCCAGGTAAATCAGCGAAAAGCATCAGATTGCTGGCTCCCAGCTCTAGGAAACTCTTTCCATTTTATTTTATTTTTATCAATTTATTTCCAAGGCTTTCATTATTTTCTTCAACTTCCTTTCTTCTGAGGTTAATACATTTTATACTTTCAATGTCTTTTCTAATTCCTAAGCTTACTTAAAACCCCTGACTATGAAAAGTCTAAGTTAGAGATATCTCACAGACTCACAGAACTCAAATTCTAAGCATTTTCTTGTTTTAATTCTGAAAAGAAAGTCTTTCCATATAAGCTTGTGGTGTGCCTAACAGGCGTGAGGGAAAGGTTTCCGAGCTGGAATGACCGCAGCTTTACCACAGCAGCCATGGATTTACAATCACACAGCTGTTTGTTCTGTCCCCCTTGTCTACTTCCTCACACCTCGGGGAAGCCAAGGCAGCCGTTTTCATTCCTGATTTAAAGATTACAAAACAGAGCTGACTAAATTTATATACTAATAAACGACTGAAGCAGGTCTCAGACGCTCAAGGGCTTTTCCTTCTGTGTACAGAAGTGATCTCATTCAGTAGTTTCTAGTCTATCATTACATGGGTATTTCTTGTTTCCATGACTATATCAATATATCCTAGGTTATAGATAAGACAGACACATGAAAAGAAGGAAGTGACAAATAACTGAGCAGAGACTCTAATGCTCTGTTTCCCAGTTGGCTACTGAGCACTGTGGCCTGAGACCACCACTTTATCCTACATAGACTGAGCCAAGAATACTATTGCTTCATTTCTAGCTGATGGTGGTTTAGAATCAGACCATCTCTAGAGAATGACTGTTCAGCCTGAGCTGTCCAGGCCACTTCTTTATTTGGGGCTTTCTTTCTATCTTTCTGCTAGGTGCATCTGGCTATGTCATTGCTCATAAACACTTGCCAGGGCATAAAGGCTGTGAGCTACTTACACAGTCTTACTTTTGTACTACCAAGTGAAAAGATACTGAGGCCGATGTCCACGTGAAGGTAGTTTTTCCTTTTTGACCTTTGCTGCTCCTCACACCCACTGCACTGACAACTGAGGTCACACTGTCCACCAACATGCTTCCTAGGATGACCTGGCCTGCTACCATGCACCACTTCTAGGCAGTTATGTACTATTTGGGATGAGTCAAGCCCTTTCTGAGATACATGAAATCTACATGAGCAGGAGTAATTCAGTTCTATTACAATTTTAGAAAGATTATTAATAATTCACTGTGTGATATAGATAATTAATATGTTTGCTGAGTAGCAGGAGAAAATTTTATTTAAAAAATATTAGGATGAAAGGATTCAAGATATACCGGAACTCTTTTTTTTTTTTTTTTTTTTTGAGACAGGGCTCTGTGTAGCCTTGGCTGTTCTGGAGCTCACTCTACACACCAGGCTAGCCTTGAACTCAGAGATCAGCCTGACCTTTCCTCACAAGTGCTGGAATTAAAGGAGTGCAGCACCACACCAAGCTTTATACATCACAACTATTAAATACTAAGAAGCCAAGACTGTGGTGGCACACGCCTTTAATCCCAGCACTCAGGGGGCAAAGACAGGAAAATCTCAGTGAGTTCAAGCCTAGCCTGCTCTACACAGTGAGTTCCAGGACAGCCAAGGCTATGTAGAAAAACAAACCCCTAACCTACCACCCACAAACTAACAACTCACAACATATGTCACAGAAATATATACTTAAGTACAGCACTGACTAACAATAAATATAATAATAATAAAGATGATAAAAACAATGATAAGATTAACAGTAGGGGTAATTTTACAGAAAAACGTCAGTTTCTAAAACTGGCTGGAGAATAGAAAGTAAGTAAGTAAGTAAGTAAGTAAGTAAGGTTTTCTCTTTTTTTGCTAACATTTACAAGGGACAAATACAGTTAATTCTGTATAAGGAAAGTTACAACTATATGGGGAACTTTAAAACTGCCAAGTAATGCCAGAAAAATTTTAAATAAGTATAGAGCCATGGTATGTTTAGCAGAAGCGTCAAATGCATGATAGTTTAGTCCTCATAGGGGCTAAATCAAGGCTCCTCAGCAATGCTAATAGTAATGAAACAACAGGCTACTTACTGTGCAACAGTAAGGAGGAAATGAGCTCTCTAGGGCCAGGGAGGGAACAGGTGTCAGGCAGGTTCTGTCACAGTGGCTCTGGGATGTGCAGGAAGGCACCTGAATGGCATGTGTGCTGAGCAGCAAGTGTGAGGGAGGGGAGACTGAAACTCCACCCTGAGGTCACAGGTCGGACTGCAGGAATGAGGACTAAGGAAGGAGCTGGGTCAACACAGGACCCAGTGTCAACACAGTTCCTGTCTGCCTGGGCGGAGCCCACACCTGTCTCCTGGGATCAGAACCAGGACCTGCTGCTGTAGATTTTCTCACCACTCTTGCTCTCTGTTCAACTCTCCACCTTACCCCACACTTTAAAGTAACAAAGCTTCTGTTTACAGAGCTTAACCACAAGATCATCCTATACTGCACAACTGATTTGACTCAGGCTCACAGCTCCCTAAGTCCAGACAGAGTTCAGGGTCTTGACTGGTCTCTCTCCTCATTTCTCTTCCCCCTTCCCTCCTCTCCTCTGTCCCTCCCCTCCCCTCCTCCCTTCTCTCTTTTCTTCTCTCTCCTTCCTGTTGAAATAGCCTTCCCCTTTCCCAAATGCTCAAAGCTACAAGTTAAACTGGTGCCCTGTAAAATCTGAATGCTTTATAAAGTGTGGTATTTAATGCTCTGTACCCTGGTAATCAGAGGATTACTCCTGGTCCCCAGCAGGGGTGTTAAGGATAGACCTATGTAGTTCCAAACCAACTTGGGTTACAGAATAAGAATCTATCTCAAGAAAATGACCCCTACAAAACCCAGGGAAAAAAAAGAGGGGACAGATTTTCAAATAGTAATGTGCTGAGATTTGAACCTGGTGAAGCTGGGATCAAATTGAGAAGCTATGTGGTAGTGCTGATATTTAAAGCAGTTATCCTATTTGGGGGTCATGTTTTTAACCAGTAAAATGAAAACATAATGAAACAAAACATGTATTCTCCTTTTAACAGGTTAATAACAGGTTAACCTCAAAGACGGATGAGAATCCCTTTTATTAAACAGGAAGAACTGTCTTTATTCGAGCAAATCTAGAAAAGACACAAAGCATGCTTTATGAGCTGTTAAGACTGTTTGAATCACAGGGCCCTTATTTGTGACTACTTAACAGTGTCGAGCTAATGACGCCCCAAGCAGAGCCCTTGAGCTTGGCTCTGCGCTTTGGGAGTTTGTGGGGCATGGTGACTGTACTGTTTTGGGTTTGCTATGCTATTAGCTGAATTTTAAAATTCTTTAATAACTTTGTTTTTATAATCTTTTAAAATTCTAATGAATTAGGGAAGCTGCTTTCAATATAAAACAGTGTTGAATTATTTTCCTCAGGAAATGTGCTCTGCAGTTGTTCATCAGGAAATGTGGCAAGACTTTGAAACATCAGAAGCTGTGGTTTTTGTGGGGGTGGGGAGGGGAAAGCTAAATATATACACTTCATGCAAGTTATTTTTAACTTAGTATTCAAGAGTGAAAGGAGAAATAAAGTTAACGAAGCAAAATCTTTTCTTAGATTTCCCAATTTATTACCATGGTAAAGTAATTACTATTAAGTAACATACTGGTGTTATTGCGGTTCTTAGCACCGAGAACCTGGGAAATACAGCTAGTTTCTTCAAAACACTGCTGGCCAGCTACAGTTGTCCTCTGTTTAATCATGTGCTACTCTGGTGTTAGAGATGAGCTGAAGTTGCATTTACACCTATTGTTCACAACTGCTTGACCTTCTAACACTTAAAGAGTTTTTTGGGAAGCAAGCAAGCAGATAAGAACATCTAGCCACTCAAGTGCAAAGCACTCACTAGATTCCTTCAACATTTATTAGCACAACAGGCTGATTTGCCTTCCATCCCTTGAACTCTGAGGTCTAAACTGGAGGAGTGAGGCAGACTTCACTAATCACTTAGCACTTTGAAGAAGTGCTTTGGACCCAGCACAGGGTCCAAGCTAAGAATGCTAAGCAAATTATAAAGACTGGAGGACACACATGGAGGACAGTCGTGTGTGTGTATGTAAGACAGTTGTGTGTGTGTGTAAGACAGTGGAGGACAGTTGCGTGTGTGTGTGTAAGACAGTGGAGAACAGTTGCGTGTGTGTGTGTGTGTGTGTGTGTGTGTGTGTGTAAGACAGTGGAGGACAGTTGCGTGTGTGTGTGTGTGTGTGTGAGACAGTGGAGGACAGTTGCGTGTGTGTGTGTGTGTGTGTGTGTGTGTGAGACAGTGGAGGACAGTTGCGTGTGCAGAAAGATGGGGCTCAGTGAGGGACTGAGCACCATGCAGGCACATGTACCAGTGGCTTTTGCCTGGAAGAGGGCATACAACAAGGGAGACCAAGTTCCTGTTCTCATGAAGTGTTTTAAAATGAGAGAGAAGATACACAATAGCAAGAAAGGACATGTTTTAGAAAAAAAAGTCAGTGAAGTAATAATTGAGTTCTTAAGCACTCAGTGGAATACGGAGGGTAAGCAAACTGGGGAACATCTTTGGGAGTGGAGAACAGACATGCAGTAGTCTGATCTGTGAAATGGTTGGATCTTTCTGGGGAAGCCCATGGAAAAAAGTTGCAACCTTGGTAAATGTCCACAGCAAGGCTAAACTAAGAGAAAACATTCCCAGAACTTAAGTTGATTTCTGTGTGGCTATGTGCTGATTTTGGACTATATTCATGTATACACCATCTTTTAAATGTGGCTTTTATAAGTTTTGAAATTCAAGCCTGTAGAATACTGTCTAAAATCCTATTTCCACGGTACTGTCAAGAGTTAGTATGGATAGCAAAGATTTACAAGGGAAGCCATGCATGCGTTCTCTTTTACCTAAGAGAAGTTACTTTGAGATCCTGCAGAGAATTAGTTTAAAAGGTAAAATAATTATAAATATGCTGAAGTTGAAAGCATCTCTGCTACATGATAAATCACACCTCCTCAAAGACATTAAAGTAGGAACAGAGCCACACCTTTCTCTGGTAAATAGCAATCCAGTCAGTCGTGGCAAACCACTTGTGGGTCTTTATGTCACTCACGCCGTTCTTCAGGTTGCCGAATCGCTTTGTCAGGTCCACCTGCAGCAGGTTCCGCAGAAGGTCCTTGAGATCAGAGCTGAAGTGGGACGGGAACCGGACCTGCACAAACACAGCAGGAGGTGAAGCCCAACCCCAGATGCTGGACATTTCTGTTCTGATCTCATATAGGCTTTATTCAGTGACTGATCATTATAAAAACAGAAGGCAGTAGTGACCTCCAAACACTTCATGACATACCAGCTAGTAGTCATCTTAAAGCATTAATATGATTTAGGTAAAGAGCTAAAACTTCCCTGAAAGCCTTGTTTCAGTTGTGTTAGGAACACAAAGTGGTCTCTAGAAACATAAAGCACACATGCAGTCATCCAACACCAACAAAAGGCTCACCCATTTTCAAGAGTGATCCCCTTGGGCCTTATTATGACAATGTTCAAAGATGTACAATTTAAATTTGTAATCTAAGTAGAACATGTAGCATATGAAAAACATTAGTAAATGCGTTTTGAAAAGAGACCAACCGAGGAAGAATCTGAAAAGGACTTTCAACACCCACACTGCCTTTCCCAGCATAGGAATCCATTCCACTTATTAGACATAAAACAAAAGCTTTTAAGCGGAATTCTGATATAGGGAAAAAACACAGCAATGCTATGACTACCCAGGAGACACAATATTAAAAATGCAGGTTGGGGGGGTTTAGGTATGCTATAGCGCCCACTTTACAGGCACGGGTATGGCAACTGATATGTACAATGATCAAATTGTTTGCTTAAGACTGCAGAGCTAAGAGGTAGAGCTACAGCTCCAAACAGACATTTGACAGCAGCACCAATCCCTCTCACTGCTCTCCACCACCGCCATGACTAATAGAATAAAGTGGTATCTAGAGTTGTGGAGAAGGCTGCGAGTTTAGTCTTAAAAACGTTCTGTAACATTCATCTTTCCTATTAGAAGCAATTACTACAAGGTGAGGAGTATGTACCCTCTACTGTAAAAACAGCAAGACAGCAATCAGAGGCTTGTGAAATGAACAAGAAGTTCTCGAAAGATACAACACAAAGGGAGAGGATGGCGTCATGAGGACAAGCAGCAGTGCTGGTGAGGATGACACACAGAGGGCCCGTACACACCTCGGGATGTAACTGACTCAGCCACTATGGAACCATAAGGAGGCTCCTCAGCAGTAAACTACAACTACCACAGACCTCAGTTTTATAACCCTTAGGGGTCTGGCAAAGGAGCCAAGTCAAGGTATCCCCAGAGGTGCTTGCATATTCCTATCTGCTAAAGCACTGTCAGTCACCTAGTGTCAATCAACAGGCGAATGCCTAAGGAAAACCGGACTCATAAGCCCCACTTCGAAATGTCTTCTTTCAGTGAATCCTAGATTTTTATACAGGCACATGCACTGTGTGTGTGTGTGTGTGTGTGTGTGTGTGTGTGTGTGTGTGTGTGATGAGAGAAATGAGCCTGAGGTTAAGAATGAGACTAGGAAGAAACCAAAGACATGGGGTGCATATATGGTTCAAGAAGAAGATACCCCCAAAACTGTCTTTGTGAGGGCCATCAATTTGTGCTTTTGCCATTAAAATTAACATTACTTCCTCTCCAGGATTAAATGAGACTTTTCTTGTGGTGCATCTAAACTTTGTTTAGGTTAAAAAAAAAAAAGACATTTCAAGTGTCTCTGCCTTGGCTTAGAGTGGGATTTGCATGAAGTGTCTGACGGCAATGTGCCAGTAATTGTTTATGGTGCTCACAGTTGCAGACAGTAATGTAGTGCACAGAAGTTATTCTATGAATTCAAGTAATATGCAATATAATGCATGAATTGCACCCAAATGAAACTGTTCTTTCTTCTGCAATACAGAGTGATGGCACTGACTGGTTAACGTGGGTAAATATGTGTACATGTTTACATTTCAGAACAGTGACTCTCCAGTGGGCCGAGTGGCAGTGATGTCATATTTAATTGGGAACTTTCCATTACACTTGCACCTCCATTGCCACATCACACCTTTCAAAGATGCTGATGGCTAGCCTGCATCCTCCATGGTCCATGTTAACAGTGGTACAACAACCTGGACCAAACAATAGTTCCTAAGATGGGAAGAGTGACACATGTTTTCTTCAAAACTGTCTCTAGAAGGAAATTAGTTCTGTCATTACTACTGGCTACAAAGACTTCAGAAAGTGAAATCACAAGTGTGGAATCCTGGAGCTGGTGAGAGCCTTCGTTAAGACTGGGACCCTGAGCTCCAAGGAGGTCACAGCCTGGTGGTCACTGGGACTGTTGAGGAAATAACTCAGTCCCCTGACTTGCATATTTGTGAGCTTTCTGCCAGTATGTAATAGGGCAGATAATGCTGAAATAGTTGTAAAATGGGCCATGGCAAAATGAGGCCGGAGGGCAAAATGAGGAAGTCTAACCCCAGCAGTCCATCAGGGCAGAGAGATATAAGGTTATTGGAACTCGGCACAGTTGGTATGGAGAAGGTGTCTGCAGTGTGGCACAAGCCTCTCCTTGAGTATCTGCTTCCATTTTCCTTAATAACATTTCCTGTGATCGTTTCCGACCTTCTGAGACCATGCTAACTCTGAGTTTCCTAACCATGCATTGCTCATGTAGGATCTGTTTCTCCGTAAACTACAGATGTGTAGAACAAGCTCACAGCAGATGATGAGCATTGCCTGCAATGTTGAGATGCACAGAAGACCTATGTCAGGGACTCCAGGGTGGGGCCCCAATGACGGAAACCACACCAGGCGGGCAGAGACCAAAACTGACTGGCTTTTCTCGACAGGTAGACCCACTCTGGCGTTTATAAATACTCAATAAATACACGATTCAAAACCACTTGACTTAAACCTACTATGTGCTATGCACTCATGTGCATGGGGCAGACAGAAAACAAAGGAAGAGAGAAATTTGCCTTCAGTGAGTTTATATTTTTACTGAGGACAGCAATGAGTATGATTTAGAAATGAGGCCATCACTCCTCACAGACTTTTACTCTGAAGAATATGGGAATCAAGGACAAAGTTCTTCCTTTACCACTTTGGTTTTAGCTCTGGGGACTGAATCCAGGGCCTGGAGCACGCTGAGCTGGAGTGTAATCTCGGACTGCAGCTGCAACCTTCCATCACAGGGCTTTAAAGAAGTGACAGGATGGGACTTGTTTTCAAAGAACCAGCTGCTCTAGTGGCTTACGTGAGATGACAGTGGTGGCAGTGGATAGGTAAAAAGTATATTCAAAAGCAAAGCCAAAGTGTTTCCCCTGTGTGTGGGACATGGGCTCACAAGTCACAAAAGCTATCGAGCTATTCATTTTATGTTCTCAAATCCTGACTGCAAAGGCAGGCTCTTGTAATGAGTGCAGACTGGACTGACTCCTGGGGGCCAGTGATCACCCTGCCTCAATCTCCTGAGCAACAAGGATGACAAACAGCAACCAGCATTCCTGGTCAGGCCAAATCCTCAGAATGTCCTGACTTTCAATCTCAACGTGAACTGTATATAGTCTATGACCCATTTACCCATTTACCCTCTCTAGTCTCAATCTATCCAATTATAATATGACGAAATAAACTTTATTTGACAGTATGAAAAATCACATAACATTTATGAAAACAGCTTTTATTATGCCCAATAGTAATGCACTTCCCATATTTGTAAGCTTTTCTATTAGATACCACTTTAATCAAAGAAGAAGCCTAGAAGATAGAAAAATCATAATTTAATGTTTCCAAAATACTGAAATACAGCCCTGTCGAAACTTTGATAGAATGGGAGACAATGGATGGCCCTAACCATGCTTTATAGGGTCAGCTATACTGTGCATGCAGCTGATGTCCTAAGTGACTTGTTCAAATGACTTCTATCCCATGTAACGCTCAGCCCAGGAGGAGCAGACCTGATAGACTCTTGTGCCCTCGGCACCAATTACAGGTTCATGCATTTCAATTTTGGAATAACTATTATTTTTTCTACAAATTTAAATTTATAAATTTATTTCTCAAAGGTGAAGTAACATTCAAAAAGCAAGTCATTGCATGCTGTCATGGTATCTATAACTTACATTCACTAACTAGTCATACTGACCCCCTCACATTTAGAAATAAAATAATTCTGAATCAAATTTGTCTTCACAGAATTTAATATCAAAAGTTATAAAATTGATTTCTGGTTGAGAGAGGGAGCATCTTGTTAGTGTCTTACAGTTATTGGCATGGGGAAGATTATGTTACACTGCACCAAGCAGCATTCTATTAACTTCTGATCACAGCACGTTGGATTACGTTTTAAGAAACCATTTCTTGCCATCTTGGGAAAAAAAAATTCTCTAAATCAGCTATTGCAATCTCAAATAAAGGATTTATTTAGCAAGAAAAAAGTTATACATTAATTAAATTCTCAAAGATAAAACATTTTCATACCCTAGGCTTTCTATAGATGTGCCAATATTCACACTACCTGTGGTCCTCAGGGGACAGTGAGTCAGCCTGCATTCCCTAAGTGGAAAGAGGACTAGGGCAGTAAGGTGTGTCTGGAAACACAAGTACCATGTCTGTGGTGTCTCTACAGACGGGTGCAGTGGGCTACTATTCACTCCTTCTCATTCTTTTTCCTCCCCAAAAGCAGTCAGTGTTCCAACTGCCTGCTCGTCAGACCAGTAAAAGACTGTCTGGAAGGAAGTGCTGACAGACTAGTAAATCTCCAGAACAAAATGTTAAAAACTGGCCTGGGTTTTATGAAGACAGCACAACTGCTTTCTATTTCACGAACACAACATTTGGGCCAGAGATATAGCTCAGCTAGTAGAGACCTTGTCTAGAATTCATGAAGCCCTAGGTTTAATCCTGCTTCCAAGTTCTGTCAGAGAGCTGGGACCTTGAGTGGTTCCAGTTCCTTACACTGTGTGAAACTTCCCTGAAGGACAGCATGGCTCTTGTTGCACAGATCTACACAGACACACGGTTTGTCTGAATGTGTGCTAAGGAGAGGTGCATAGGTGACGAGCTGCCAGTAAGAACACTGGGCACCGAGTCTCCCATGGCTGTTACTGATAGCTAACACTTTACACGTGCTGATGTTGGGGCTGTTAAATGCACCCCCATGGTCCACACGGAGTTCCTGGAGACCTGCCTGTCTGTGCCTGGTCTCCTGTGAACCTGGTTGGCCTGCCTCTTCTCTGTGCTGATGTGCCTGTCTATCTACCTCTGGCTGTCACAAATCTAAATCCAATGACCAGCATGTGCTGGGCCTCAGAGTCCTTACAGAGCCATCTAACCTAGAGAGAGGCTTCGGGATCCATTCCTAGAAGAGAATGACCTTTGGGCTACTAATTAGTTATTTGTCACATGAATGCTAATTTCCCTTCAGCAAAAATTAATGAACTCGTTGATCAGTATACATTGAAGTATATGCTCCTACATTTCCTGCAGTATCTTGCTGCTCAGGAAGAACAGAATAATATTTACATTATATATAGTAAATCTAAGACATTTTTCCAAGTTACATAAGTCAAGGACTCTAGAATTAGGTTTTCTGTGACAGCTGTTACTTGATTATTCTGTTCTCACATACCATTTTGGAACGCAATATTGATTTTTATATTCCCATTGGTAACATAGGCAGATAGAGTTGCTATGGAAACCATACCTGACTCTCATTATACACTACTGGCACTCAGGCATGAACTATAAAGCCTATACACAGAAACAGTGCATGCATTGCTAAGACAGGCACAGTGACTGAGGACTACAAATCCTTTCTGTCAACTGCATTTCCAAGTTGTATTCCCAAGCCTTAATAGTCATGAATAATCTCACATTTAAATGCCACCTCCTCTGTTTTTCAAAGGCAAAATATGCGCAGAAGAGAGTATAAAAGCTGACTGACCATTTATCATTCTGTACATTTAAAAATACCAGTTTGGGTTAGAATACTGAAATAGAGAAATTGCTTAACAATCCAATATTCAAATGTATGTATATAAGTGAATTAATCACTTAGTAACTTTTGTTTTAATTTTAACATTACACCTATTTTATAACAGGGTTTCAGAACAGAATGTAATATTATTGTATTAAGTAATCCGCTTTTGAAAAGATAAGACGAAGCTATTCCTTTGTGTTCCTTTCTGTTGCTGTTGTCTATCCAGCCCACTGGTCTTAAACTCCTTAACTTAGTCTCGCCTCCTTTCCAGTGTTAAGGGCACAGGCACACACCACCTTTCCCAGCATGAAAAATCAAATCTGAATTAAAACTACAAATATAGAATACCCAAACATAAGACTAAAATTGGATTTTAATGACATGAGCTATTAAAATGAAAACTTAATTAAGATCCAATTTGGCTTTTATGTACTAATGGAGGCAGTAAACAGTCTTGCAGTATGGACAGACAGCCTTCTGCTTGGATCTGAAGCTGAAACAGTCTATTGGAAAACTGGGCACTATGACTTGCATGCCACAGAGTAGAGATTCTAAAATGCTGAAGTGGTAACTCTGCATGTGATCTTAGACAGGGAAACGGTAGAGACTATCTCACAAGGGGAGAGGATCAAACCTTCAGCTAAATATGACAGCACCGAACATCTGCTGCACTTCCAAATAAATGATGAAAACCACCCTAACATGATGTCACATATTTATGCTATTTTTAAAGTGTGATTACATTTTACACGGTGATTGATTTAGAACATATTCACTTACTGAATACAAAATATTAAAATTAGATATGAAATAAAGAATTTCACCAACAGCTGACAACACACTAACCAAGGGAGAATGACCATCAAACTGAGGTCAACCATACCAAGACACATGCATTGGTTTGAACTGGAGCAACTGGTCTAAGTAAATATAAAAATAAGGATAAATTATTATGTTATTGGATATTCATGGTACCTTGTGAATATTTAACATTGTAAAATTTAAATTCATTGATGCTAAGCTCAACTTTACAAAATGGCAAGTGTGGATCTGGTTGGTTAGAAAGAAATGGAGACTTCACTTCTTGGCTGATCACACTTATCTCTGTCTAAGAAGGTCATAAAATAAACAAGAACCAAAACAGTAAGCGCACCAATCTCAGGGCAATATTAGAGCCACAGTTCCATTCCATGGTAGCATTCTTCACTAAAAACAAAAGGAAGAGTAAGGGATGTGGGATAAGTGCTAAGCAGAATGCCTCCTCCTGTGAGGGGCTGAGGTTCATTGCATGCACTTATTTCTGTGGGGGAAGGGCTCACGGAGTGCCTCTCAGAGGATGGGGGTGGGGGAGGAAGGGGGAAGGAATAATTACACTTACCTTTCCAGAAACAATCTTCTCATAAATCTGAATTGGCTGGTCAGCAAAGAATGGGGGGTAGCCAGCGGCCATCTCGTAGATCAGCACGCCCAGTGCCCACCAGTCCACTGCCTTATTGTAACCCTGGGATAGAGCAACATCAGAGAACACTAAGTCATAAGTAATTTTAAAACAATCTGGAAATGTATGAACATGATTACAGCAGTTTTTGGCAGCTGTGTAGAGCAGAATATGATAACTGAATTAAACCTATCATGGCAGGTTTAATTAAATGAAACAAAGAATTTCCAGATATTGAAATGTGTTACTGGGAAGGACTATTAAATCTGAGTCCTAAAAATCACTGAGAATAACACTGACAGAAAGGGAATTAGAGCAAATGACTGCTGGAGGCCCATCCTAGGCCACAACCCTGTGCACTAGGTGTGCAATAGTATAGCTAGAATGGCCAGAAATTCCAAAACAGAATAGGATTACTGGAATAGTAAATGATGGGACTCACTTCCCAACAGCCTACATTCTGGGATCTGGAGGGTGAAAACTCTTGACATAATTGTGTCTATTTCAGTATCTTTTGAAAGCTTAAAATTTAATGTGGTCTCTAATCAGTAGTGGTGTCCATGTCCACGTGAATTTTGCTATTTGCTGTCTATGTCTCGTCTCCTGAAGACAAACAAACATGCTTAGGTTGTGTGGCAGGGTATCCAGGGAAAAGGCCTGCTTAAAGAGTACACTGTGAGGAAAGACAATTCAGAGGCTGTGTTCCCTTTCATTTGCCACTTGTCATATCAAGCTTACTAAAAATGCACATGCTGAGCAATCTGTAGGAGGATACCTGGTGATAATGTTCAGATGAACACATTCTCAATACATAATATATTTATACAGCATCAGCCATAGTCTCTGTCAACGGAAGATTATGATGGAATGACAATGCTCTACCTTTCTGTTAAGATGTTTCAAACATCCTTTCACTTAGATGGTAAGTTTGAAACAAAGGAAGAACTGACCACTGACCCATCTTGTCTCTAGCTCTTCATCTGGGAGGGGCCTGGCACCAGCCTTTTGCACTGGGATCCTTCCTGTTGGGAAGAGCCAGGACTGCCTGGGCTGCACTGAAAGTTAGGTCATCACTCTGCTTCATCAGGACGTAGAGTCAAAACTAACACATCTTAGAGATGTGTGACCAGCTCTAGACAGATTGCCATTTAGGAATCATGCCCTGGTAGATTTAAAGTCATAACTTAAATGACTGCAGGCTTCTTCCTGTATGTGCCAATAGCACCCAGTACCTTGCTGAGGATGATCTCCGGGGCCAGGTACTCTGGGGTGCCACACAATGTCCAAGTCCTGCCTTTGACTCTTTTGGCGAACCCAAAATCTGTGACCTACGAAGGGAAACAGAAATGTGAAAACTCACTCACACAGAACAGAGGTCCTATACATAAATCCAAAGTTAAGAATTCAGGATTAAAATAATATACATGAAAAACAAGTCAACATGATTAATAGTAATTCATGAAGGTGATTATTCAAACCCCATCTTGTTTCAAAACAAAAAGCAAATCTAGCAAGGCCTAGACCTAAGTCCCTTACAAGTGAAAAGGAGGAGCAGGAGGGAGAGTCCAGTACAAAGTAAGTGTTGATAAAAACACCCGAGTCCTGCATGTCTCTGCCCATGATGTGGATCAAGGGAACACCCTCTGAGGACACTCCTCTGACAGGTAAGCCATAGAAAGCCGTGGCCTCAAGCTATGAAAGGAACTAGAGAGAAGACAGCCACTAACTGCTCTGTGTGCAGTTAGGTCTCAGCCAGCCACATATTTGAGTGGTAAACGTTGCTAGACTTTTTGGGTTTAAATTTTAATTCTTCCATTCCTGACTATGTACCTGGCCATGAATGAGACTCATTAACTTTAAGATCGTGACAATAAGAGTATTTATAATTCACAGGGTTATTACTAGTATTAAAAAAGGCGACAAAGGTTGACTATCACTTATCCAAAGTATTTGGCACCGAAGGTACTCCAGGGTTTGGATTTTTCCAGTTTTTTAAATAATTCCAAATGAGCACCGAGACCCTGGTGAGGGGCCAGACACAGAATTCATGTTTCATAGGCACTGCACAGTCACAGCCTGGAGGAACTGCTAACAGTATCATCAGTGCGCCTGACTCTAATCACACCTGTCACATGACGTTACCTGAACAATTCTACTTGGGGAGACATGTCAATATACAAACGAATTTCAGAAGTGGAATTGTTTTAATTTGGAGTTTCAGACTGAGAGGTACTGAGCCTGCACACACAGGACTCCTGACACCCGTGACTACTCTCCTATTTAGCCCGTACTGTTTCTTTTGGCAGGGGCCTACGCTTAGGTCACACCCACTGGCTCTGGGAGATACATACAGGCTCCTCTTTCACGTGGGATGTACTCACCTGTAAACGCAGAGCTATGAATTCACTTCACTTTTAGATAGAACCAATTTTCTCCTTCAAAACCAACCAACCAACTAACCCACCCACCCACCCACCCACCCACCCACCAACCAAACCATCAAACACTGACATTTGAGGCAAAATGTGTGAAGCTATTTCAGTGTTTGCCCAATGTGTCCGTGCCATGTGATCCAATCCTACCTGGATGTAACCTTGGTGGTCAATCAGGAGGTTTTCCGGCTTGAGATCTCTGTAGATGAGGTCGAGGGAATGGAGGTACTCAAACGTTAGCACGATCTGAGCTGCATAGAAACGGGCATGAGGTTCACTGGAAAAGAGAAAACAGTTTCCTGTAAAAATGGGTGAAGAATGCTCACTAGTGGATTATACACTAAATGCAAGTGGAGTGGATTTATCTGGAGAGAGGGTTTCCTTATTCAAATGTGGGTGAAGAATCTGTCATTCTCCAAACATCTATTGCTTTCAAAATACACATCTTATTGCAAGTTCTCATTGCCCAAACTGGGAGATGGTGATGTCACTGTAAATAGAGCTGCCCTTGAGAGGATGGCAAAGCAAACGGCCACTCTGAGGTCAGAAGAGCTGCCACTACAGTTACCAGGTCACAGGCTCCACTCACTTTTCTCACACATTTCAAAGGTTTAAGGAATTTCATTATATAGAATTGCTTAATTGCATTCATCTGAAGATCAACTCCGTTTTCCCTATTCTGAAGTTCTTTCTAGTACTAACTGACTGGCACACACTCACCATCATATAAAATCCTGGTAAGAACACACACAATCCCATCTAGAGCTGCAATCTTGTTATGCGAGTTTCCAAATCTCCAACTGGGCATGTTTATAGTCATATAGATATAATCTATGTGTTTGTAAAAACCAGGCGAGGTTCTTGTGCCTAGGTCATATATCTAGAAATTTTGAGATTAGTGTAATTTTCATGCTGTAACCTTAGAGTTATTTGAAAATGGCAAACTAAATGTCTAATTGGAATTTGTAGTTAATTTTCAAATACAGTGTTTGCTAATCTGCCTGATAAACTCTTATGACTTTCAGATTTGTGTCTTTAATGAACAACCTCCATTATTGATAGAATTTCAAGGGATGGCATCAGAATCCGAGATGCCTAAGAAGACGTGGACACATACTGTTCTTTGTGCCCATTGGCACATTCCACAAGGCCTTCCTGCCGGATTCACTTCAGGTGCTCAAGAAAAACTGGCTGACCTCAGGAATAAGCAGTGATATTTTATAATGCCTCTCCAGTTTCAGCCAGGTCACAACAAAGTAGTAAAGAATGAGGGGGGCTCTGGAGTAGATATTGGGGGACTCTTCCCTGGTTTGGCAGCATGCAACCTCAGAAGCTCTGAGAATTGGATCTAGAAGACCCCTTTATATCTTCTCTCCTCATCTGTAAATACGAGATCTTCCTGGTGTTGCATTTATTTGTTTATACAACCTTATGCTTGTGTGAAGAAATATAGAGAGTGTGTCAATCCAGTAATCGGAATGTTGAGATGAGAGAGACTATTCTAAAAGCAATGCATTAAGGCAGCTTTAAGTGCAGAAGCAGTCTAAGTCAGGACTCCAAGGACGACTAGACTGATCAAGGCACACTGAGCAGTTACTCAAGTCCCTGCTAGGAAGATGCAGTGCTCAGAGTTCACATACAGCAAATGTGAGCTCAAGAATTATTATAGTCAGCTTGCTTTCCTTCCAGCAGCAGGCATGGTGTGAGGAACACAGAGATGGGCAGCCGCACAGCAGACAGGTGCTTGAGCAAAGGAGCAGTGCGGGTGGAGGACAGGTTTGGGTGTGGCGTCTCAGTGTAAGCACGGGATGACTAGGGAACAAGAGCACGGCTGCAATACTTAAGTACATACGGCTTCCTCAGAGTCCCAGACAAAGGACTAAGCAGAACCACTTAGACAGGGTGATGGGAAAGAGATGAAGACAGGACATAAAAGAAGATCATCACCGTCAAAGAGTAGCCACATTTCACTACACAGTCACCATACATGTTAGGTTCCCCTTGCACTAAAGGTCAATAAATGACTCCTGACTTAGGCTCAGGCAACTCACATAACCAGTGGCTGCCTCTGTGTTATTCTCTTGTGATGACCCAACTCTACAACCCTCTATTATGAGTCTGTCATCAGTCCCATGGAAACTCACTCTTAGGTTCATCTGAGTTCTGAATATTGAGTGAAACTTATTCTGGTCTTAATCTTAGATATATTTGATAAATGATTACTAATTAACAGTGGTAGCTATGAGCCTTATCCATAGATTAAAAACTGAAACGTGTCAGTAGTAACCTGGCACATTACTAATTATATATATAAATATAACTGTGTATGTAATTTGTATATACATTTAAGGAACTCAACATGAGAAAAGCTTTAATTAAAGTCTAAAAAGACTTTATAACACAATCTCATCCACCATATCATTGCTATTTTTATGTCTCCTTCCTCATATTCACTCATTCAAACTTCTGTTATAAATGCCCATTACGTATTATTACAAAGCACATAGCGTGTGCTGTTACATGTCTCAAATACTATCATTTTTTCAAAACATGTTGGCTTTTTAAATTTAAGGTTTTTTATCTTTTAGGAATTTTTCAAGTCAAGTCATAATACTTACCAGTGGAAGAGTATGTAAATTAGTGTCACAGTGTTCTCATTTGAAATGTAAAGCTCATATATGGTATAACTTCCCACTACTGTGTTCACCTAATACTTTCTATGGATAAAATATGGGTTAATTAAATCAGATGCAGTTTTGGTTTAAAATAAACACAAGCATGTGAAGACTCAAGGAACGAAGTCATGTACAGTAGTTACCTGAACCTTCCAATTCTTCTTAGATGTGAAAACATTTCTCCCCCAGGAACATATTCCATAACCATGTATAAATTAGAATTATCCTATGGACAAATAACAAGTACCAGTTATAAAACACATTTTGAGATGACAGCATGTTCGATTAGAAAGGGCAAAGTCAACATCTATTGAACAGGTCAATAATAAGTAGGAGACTCGAGATACAAAGTGCTTTTCCACACTCATATCTACCCCTTAGCATTCCAGACACAGAGACCTGAGACTCTGCTGTTCTTCTTCTTGAAGGAGACATTTAATTCAGAATAATGAAATATTGCAGCAATGACATACTTGCACAGCATATGCAAAGGAATAACAAAATTAAAAAGCAATTTGGAAAAGCTAATAAGAATATTTACATTTTCTGTTTGCAAGATGGATAGTTGTAATACTTTAAGTATATAGGGCTTTATTAGATTCCCAAAACAAAGGACTAAGCAGAAGCAAGATGGCGCCTATGATTCAGCAGTCCTGAAAACTTCTCACTTTATCTGACTTAGCAACAGTGGCACAGAGATTGTTCTCCCTTGTTAGCAAAGTACCAGCAACAATAAAACCACAAAAGTCCAGAATACAAATTAGTACAGGAAGGAACATCTCCAGGTCCTAACAGGAAGGGTTTAAGCTCTGTACAAAGTGAACAGCATCATCTTCATTTGAATGAGCATAAGACTGACTAGTAAGATATCCATTCGAGCATCACTGTAATCTTTGGCCTTGTCTTGCCTTCCCATGAAAGCTCACACAGGTTGTCAACAACTGCTCCAAGGAGAAGCACAACTCCCCCAATACTGCCCAAGCTCATGAGTACAATGGACTAATCACACAAAATCCAAAGGCTTTTCTTTTTTGCGCATGTCCATTTTCTAGTTTCATCATTTTACTAGAATTCTCCTACTGTTCCATATGTCAAAAGCATATCTGGGTGGAAATACCTTCATTAGATAGCAGGGAACTGACCTTAAAAGAATACTCCAGCCGAACAAGAAATGGAAACTCCACCGCCTGCAGTATTCTCTTCTCATTCAAAGTGTGCTCGATTTGCTTCAGCTTAACGACCTGCAAGGGGAAGACAGAGACTTCAGTGGACTTAAACAAATTTAAACGCTATTATTTCAAAGAAAATGTCTTCCATGTAATAATCATAATGGATGATTACTAGACTTCAATAAAAAAAATAGTAACAAGCCTAGGAAAGAGTTCCAGCCTCTGTCTTCTGGTCAAGTATGTTCCAGCTGTGTTGAACTGTGTCTGCTATCCCAACACATAGGAGACAGAGTCAGGAAGAGTACCATAAATTCAAGGGTAGCCTAGGCTACATAGTGAGATACTGTCTCAAAAAAAAAAAAAGTCAACTATAAATCAAGTTAAAAACAAGGGTTAAACCAAAGGAGACCTACTGCTTTCAAGGTTACTATGTAAAAATATTTGCTGCTAATGATATGATCAAATCACTTATTATCTTAGTAAGTAGCAGAAAATTAAAGAAGTCAACTATAATCACATGAGATATGATTAAGATTAACATTAATTCAAGATATATAAACTGGTAAGGCATATATGCTTAGCCAAATTTTAATAAAAGTTTAAAAACTGAATTTACTTAAACTGGATTTCCTTTCCATTGTGCCCATCTACTCCATAAACACCATAAAGGAAGACACTGAAGGGACACGCTGAGAAGCGTCTGCCTTCCCACTGCAGAGGACTGACTTGAAGGACACATGAATACGTAAATAGCGATACATGAGTGACTGGCAAACGGCAGCTATGATTCCATAAGCTGTCAGGAGAGAAACTGCTTACTTGAGACTAAGGACAGAATCTTCATCTCTAAAATTCTGATGCTTTAAAATGTCATGGGCCACAATGTAAGTCACGTGGTTAATTTACTTCTTGGCACACAGTAACAGCTCAAAAAAAAAAAAAACAGCTGTTACTACAGCTTATTTCAAAACATTAAGAGCTGAGGGGATTTTAAAAGATAAGATAGATAGCAAAGGCTCAGGAGAGATGGAAGAGAATCTAGGTCCAGGCTAACCCCTAAAACCAGTCCCAAAACGGAAAACACTCGGATACAAATGAGAATGGTGGTTTCACTTAGCCATGCTTAAGGGTAGTGCTTCTGAAAATGTGGTTAAAAATGTGCCAGAGAAAACTTGACAAATATCTCTTGGGATAGAGTTCATATATTAGCTTCAAAACTCATATCCAGGCCACACAGCATCCCCTTCCCCTCAGAAAATCACGCATCCTTTCAAGTCAGAGAAGTAGACACAGACCACGTACGACGGCATGAGGTGAGAGAACCAGTGCAGTTTGGGAGACACTAAGGACAGGCTAGGAAGTAGGAAGAATAAACTTAATACAGGCTTCCAGGTGAGCCAAAGAAATGCTATGATAGAGTAAGAACCACTGTGTCAGAGAGGAAAGAACTACAAGTAAGAAGTCTGGAGCTCTGGGGATCATGGTGTTACTATAAAAACTAGCTGACATTGACTGGGCGTCAAACAAGGAAGACTCTTGGAGATAAAAGTACACTTTAAAGAGACAATAATGAGGAAAAGGACATGGAAATCAGATAAACCTTGGCTAACATCCTGGTCTACCTTACTAGCTGTCAGATACTGGGAAATGAGGTAGAGTAGTGGTTAGCTGAAAAGGGAGACCAATACCACATATAACTGTGAAGACTTACTGATACAACAGGTCCATGTTTGTTACATGTGTGTATATGTGCAGACATGTGTGCATGTTTGTACACACACACGTTTGCCTGTGCTCATGTGTATATATATGCTAGCAATATTTGATACATTGTAGAGAGAAGTAATGTGATAGCCTCAATTTCTGTATTGATTTTAATCCCTTCACTCCATGGACTCTAAGGCAGGAGAAGCTAAGCTTAACTGAATGACTTTATGATCTTACTGACAAGGCGGGTTATTATAGCTTGTTATTTTATTATTTATCTCAAGCAAATTAAATAAACAAAAAATCCAAATATAAAGTTTTTCATAGTAATTTATGCCAAGACACAGGGTAGTGCAGTAACAGAAATGACATTAAACTGCAGTTACTTTTCTGCAAAATACTCATTACCATGATTTATCCACTAGGTAGCCAGCTTAGTAAATTACTTCACAGGTTCTACAGTATGACAAGAAGAAGCTAAATATGTCTTTCCAAATATTTTAAAGATGAGGATGGTAAATATCATTATCTTCTCCACATCTCTGAAGTAAAGCATTTTATAAATTCTTTAAGAAAGATGACATAGTAGAAGCTCTCCTGACAGCATTTACTAAACACTGTAATGAGAAGTTTATAAAAGAGATGAAGCTGAAGCCGCCTGTCCTTTTGTTACTAGTATAAGCAGGTGAGTTGGTAACCCTCTTTGAGATCTATAACATCATCGACAGAATAAAGACAGGAATGAAATGGCCTGGAAAAGTTCTACACTCAGACTGAACATCTTAGGAACAAAGGTTCCTAAGAGGAAGGGCTGAGGTTGTTGATATAGAGAGAAAAGGGAAATGCAGAAAGAGAGAGACAGACACAGACACAAAGACACAGACACACACACAGACACACACAGACACAGACACACACATAGACACACACACGGGGCAGTGGGCAGACAGAGACAGAGTGTCAGTCTAGAGCCTAGAGACATCCAATCCTCAAAGAACATGGTAGAAACCAAATGAGGACAGGAAAAGAAATACAAGGAAGACCCCAGAAGCAGAGGCAGGATCAGGAGAGAGCTGCATTTCCACGGCTGGGGTGGGGCCATGTCAGGAGGAGTGGCCACCATGGTCACATGCTCCAAGAAAAACCAAGTAAGATGAGCAGAAGGATGACGATTTGGTTACTGACCTGGTGACCCTTGGCAGAGACATGCAGGAAGACAGTGAGAGGACGGATAAGGAACATCTGAAGTGTGGGGTTAGAATGGGCAGGAAGTGAGTTAGTGAAACTACTGCTTAAGAAGAATGGTTAGAAAATGCATGACTGAGGGCAGCCAACAACGATGTTCAATTAAATGTATGTATCATTACCTTTAATTTGAGAGAGACGTAAGCCAGTATCTCCTTTTCAGGTGAGAGATTAATCTAGTTTCAATTAAAATGAGGGTTGGGACAGTCTGATGCTATGGTGCCCAGCATTTGTGGTTATTTAACATAAAATGTGGCTAATCAAAATGTAAAATATACAACAGATTTTGAAATCTTAGTAAGAACCACAATAATTCTGTATTTGTTAAGCATTAAACACTGGGTCATTAAACAAACCAACCTTTAAAATCTATTCCTTATTTCTTAAAATGTGGTTATGAAGTCATGTAGAGTCAGAAGCAGAGCTTCTTTATGTTACTAGAGGACCAAGTTACTCTGCATCTGTTCCCTGGCACATCTTCCCACAGGTCAGCTACACTACATGGCTGTCCCTTGGCTTCTTCCCCATGACTCTGCTAACAGTGTCCTAGTAGGATCCCAGTAGGCCAAGAAGCTAGTCTCTGAAAGGTAAGCACTAAGTAACATGCACCAGTATTACCCTGGTCTTTCCTAAATTGTTAAGTGATTGCAAGAAAAACAGAAATGCTTACGATTTAAGGTAGTAAACGCTAACTGCCTCAGACAACCTGATTTATTATGCTGGCTCAGAAACAAAGTTCTTTTACATAGAATATAGGTTTTACCGTTTTCCACAATTTAACTGATATTTTAAATTGACCAAACCCAGTCATGTCATGCAAGGCAGTGTCTGTTATAAACTGCAATGGAACATGAACTAAAGTCACGAAGTTTCCGTTCATTAGTCTGCAAGGGTAGTCTGAGGGGGAACTTGTTCTGCACATACCGAATTCTATACTGTCAGTGTGCATAGATATGTGTTATCTATTGAGCATTATAGAAATGACATGTTCTCAGACACTGAATCCCATATAACCACCTTCAAAATAAAGTCATAATAAATAATAAAATTGCAAACAGCAACATCAAGTATTATTTGAAGGTGTCAGTGGCAGGTTTTCTCACTGACTGTATTTTAAAGTGAAGGGGGTGGGCCATGAGGTCACCAACCTTCTGCTTGTCTAAGATCTTCATGGCATAGTACTGCTCGGTGGCTTTATGTTTCACCAGCATGACTCTTCCGAAGGAACCCGTTCCAAGGGTTTTCTTCCTTTCAAAATCCTCAAGCCCAGCATTACTCTATACAAGTATTAAAAAAATACAATAAGGTTTTAAATTAGAAATTCCCACAAGACTACAATTATTATCACTTTGGTGTTATATAATCAGAGTGGACAATTTAATTTGTAGCTATCCATGTAGAAACAATGCATATATACTCTTTAAATTTCAGGTTATTAATTCTATATTCTCCTTTGATTAATAAAAGTCCAATAATAGAGAATATTTTATAAAATGGAGTATAAAAATGAAGGAAATAAGAGCCTCAGTTAAAATATTAATGGTCATATTTCAATTCCAATGTGAGCTCCTAACACAGCTAATGAACTACTTGCACATTTTAAGAATTAAAACCATAGTCAAATAACATATGTGGTCAGGGAATATCTGTAAATAATTGTACAAATGAAAACCGAGAGATCAGTTCTTTCATGCCTCCGAGGAAAGTGGTGTGTGCCTTTGCATGTAGTTAGAGAACTAGACAACACCCATAGAACTAGATGAAAGTCAACCAGACATCAGCTGCAGAAGTAAGCAATAGCCATAGAACTATGTAACAGCTGTAAAACTAGATTAACAGTCTTAGGACTTGGTAAGAGTCATAGAACTAGGTAATGATCTCAGATCGGTGTATGGTCCCAGACTTTCTCCTTGATGTGATAATCCAGCATTATCTAAAACAGGAAGGGAAGAAATGTCTTCATTCTACAAAGACCCAAAGCCAGAGTCTCAGAACAATAACCAGATTCTTCTCCTAGTTGAATAGATGCTTTGTTAAGCAAACATCTTTGTTTGGCTTTGACTAGTGCACAGAAGCAAAAAATTAGAGGCATCAATCTATTCAATTTGTTGCTGCTACAACAAAACTAAATTGCTAGGAACAAATTATGTGCTAGCAACAAGTAGTAATTGCTGACCCATCTGTTCAATAGGCTTCGTTATGAAAACACCCATGAAAATCTCAGAAAATGTTTCCAAGGCTCAGTCTGCAGCGTTAGCTTGAGCAAAGCCTGATGTGACATAGCTCTTCTATATACGATCAGGGCACTGCAGTGTGCACTGCAGTAATTTAATCTCCACAGAAAACCAATCTTGCTTTTGACAGACAACTTTGAATCATTATGGAAGGAAAACAATAATATTTTACTTATAAATGTGTTTGCACTGTATGTTCATTTCACATTTAGGAAAACTATTATCAAAAATAAAGGTCCTTATAATTCCGATTGAATTAAACTTGTGATTTTACAAGTAATTGTTGGTTTTACTGAAACAGGTGGATTGCCACTGCTAATACAGTCACATTCAAGTAGTGGGAACAAACAGTATACAACAAGCCATCTCCTCACGTGTGGTCATCGCTTTTCATCATATCAGAAGAATGCTCTCCTCGCCCCTTTCTAATGTTTCATGTGACAAGTGGTGCAACTAAAACGATTTCAGAAAGTATTTAGCTTATTATAGCAATCTGGAATTAGTATCCACACTTACAACAGTCTTAGCATACAGCTTGGTGGTAGAAAACCTGTCTTCTAGTATACATGAGGCCCTGTGTTCAATTCTCAGGCTGTGTCAAGAAACAAAACAACAAAACTCCTTCTCCATTTAGGAATTCTCTGAGAAGATGGTTGCTTCTCCAACGTAGATATCCATAAAATTATCAATTAATGAATTATATCACAGCATTATGGTGGAATTCCCACCATATTTTATGTTTACCATTAACATTTAAAAATTAAAACTTGTGGAGCAGCAATAAGTTAAATAAATATCATGAATACACTTCCAAATGCAGAAAAACATACAGCTTCCTTACCGGGGGAGGGTTCTCCCATTTCCTCAGAAAGTCCTCTTTGGCTTTGGCTAGAAATTCTTTCACTGGAAAAAAGAAAAGAAAATAGGTGGTGTCTGGTAAGAATGCTTACATTACATAAAGAGCACACATCACATGTGGCTGTGTGAGGTACAAATACTCCTGTGTGAGCAACTGTTGTAGGACATGTGTATCCATCAGTGTGACAGCCCAGGGAGCTACTTGATGTCTTCAACTTCTAAAGGCTCAACTACTGTTCTACATAGGGACCACTCTGATACCATCAAACCCAATCAGAACAATGCTCAGAAAACATACCTGATGTCATTTAACGAGGTCAACTGATGACCAACTAGCGACTGGATAAGCTGTGAGTGGGGTCAATGAGTCTGGAACATGAGCTGAGGATATTCGCATGCCTTTGTCTATTGTATTTTGAGAACTGGCTATGGTAAAGGACAATTCCAGGCATGGCTGTGTGCATTAGATCCTGTGCTCTCTGCATCAGCAGAGAGCAGAGGAGAAACCACAGACTAACGGGTACAGACAGGATCTACAAACCCAGAAAACCCAAAAGGAACAAAACACTACTTACAATACAAACTACTTTAGAAACTAGCTCTGAACTTATAACAAAAACTGAATGTCTGATTTAAAATTTACATTAAAATAAAGTCAAACAAAAGCAGATGTTTACATAATGGTTAATAATAGCTGTATTTATAGAGCTGTCATTTTTATTGTTAAATTTGTTAACCAAAGATGAGTCATTTAAGAATATGTCCTGTTTACACACCCCTCCAACAATCACTAACAAAGGCTTCTGTTTTTAAAACAAATTTTAATGTTTTAAAAACAAATAACTGTAAACATTTAAAAATGATATATTCTTATTTTTATGTGAAAAAAATGAGAATAAAATTGGATTACATAGGATCCTTTACTATCTCCCTTGTTCAGCAGATTCCTGACATTTCCCTATGCAGCTTATGGAGGAGCAAAGGATAGAGAGCAGGGTGAAGGGCCACAGAACAGTGAGATGCCAGGGAAGACAAGCTGCTGCATAGGCTACTGCCTTAGAAACAAAGAATGGCCGGAATAAAGCCAGAATTATGCTAGGCATGATGAGACCTATAATCCCAGCTTGTTGAAGGCAGAGGCAGGTGCACTACAGTGTATATTCAGGACCAGCCTGGGCTACACCGTGGTTTCCAGGCAGGGCTAGGCTATAGGGCAAGGACTCTGTCTCACACAAACAACAACAAAACTATCCTAACAAATCTCCAACTAGGACAACACAGAAAGCTGGAGGGAACAGTGGGGCCCGGATACATCTTGTGCTGTGTGTTAACCTCTCTCACTTTCTCTGCAGGACATGACCTTTGGCCCAACACAAACCAAAATGGCGCTTGACATTCTGTTCTGTCATTTCAATACGATGACAATGAGGAACATCAATAGTAGACAGTAATTTTGAAAGAACACTAGCTTATGCATTTCTAGGAATAGAATTTTACTAATTTCTAAGTATTATACAGTGTTTCCAAAATACTTATTTTTAAAAATTAGAGAAAATTAACTTTCAAAGTTAAATTTCTCATGTACCGAAACAGTAAATTAACTGTTGTACCTAATTATCAACATATGATCTAATTCACTGTAGGACTGGAATAGTCAAGAGGTTTTGGGTCATAGTCTGAACTCTGATCTTTGGAAAGTTAGTGAGCTAGCTGCAGCTGAAGAGGGTTGGCTTTTGTGTCAGCTCCAGGACTCCAACCCAGAGCCTTGCACATTAACTGTCTACCATGTATTTTACCACTAAGCTTCATCCCAGGCTCAAAAAGGCTGGTTTTGTATTTTATGACTAAGTTTTTGTTTGTTTGTTTGTTTTCTGTTTTCATGGCCATGACTTGGAAATAATGAGTGTAAGTTAAATTAGAAACAAAACACACCAGAACGTACACCTGTGGCTTCTGAAAAAAATCCACACTTGGTGAATCTAAAAATAATACATCTCTAATTTCTTCTGAAAAATATTTCAGCTCCCATGTACAATAGAACTTGTGTAAATTATGGTGCAAACTCTCCAGATTCCTGCAGAGTTCAGATGGACTGGAGAAGGGAGAAGTGGAGAGAGAGAGGACCTCTAGTGTCCTGCCACAGCTGCTGTCATGTTGCCGGGAGCAGGTCTGAGGGACAAAGATGAGTGACAGCGGGAGCAGTGAGAACAGACGACAAAGACGTGTGCTGGGGACAATCTCTTCTGTCTCCGTGATAAGCTCCATGAGAAAGGTTTTGATGCTACTCAGTATTCACTTGTGCTTTAAAATGTTCTCCATACTTATGAGTATTTGAAATTTACTGACAATTCATACTGGGGCAAGCAAACAAAGTTTTATGTGAAAACATTACTAAGTTGCATAATATGCACTGGTAAAATAATAAGTTTCAGTAACATTTTAAAATATAAAGGCATTTTCTTTTAGAATTCAGGATATATTAGTTATAATGTTACTAAACAATACTATGAAGAAGACTGTACTTGAAACACGCTTTTGTCATATGCAGTATGTACAAACATGGATACTCTAGTATGTATGTACATTATTTAGATGCAAAGACACATATAATCAGCTCTCAATACCAGTTGTGATATATATTTAATGTCTTTAAATGATCTTTAAACAACAGACGATCCAGAGCCGCATGGACTTGCCATGGACTTTTATTATTTTCAGACATGGGTGGATTTAACTTCTAACTGCTTTTCTATGGGCATTGTCAACCTTGTTACCCACTGAGATGTTAGTAGGTAATGAAGGAGAGGGAGAGGGAGGGATGACAGGCCTGCTCACACACTGGACCCATTCCATTCAATGTGCCATAAAGCAAGCACTGTGAGGTTCTCAATTTTCAGTTTCTTTTCTTCTATTATATAATCTGTATATACATTTAACCGTTTGAGCCATGCGACAAGCTAATACACAGTTTTTGGAATACTTCATAGCTGTGTAATCAGGAGCCTTCAGCAAAGCTTCTGACAGTAAATGACGACTATCCTTAGAATCAACACATCAGGGAATGGTTTTTCTGCAAATATGTTTTGTTCTGTATTGTTTAATACTGCAGCAAAAGAGGGCACACCAAAAACTCAATCAATTCATTCATGTACAATTTTAGTTATCCATATGAAATGATTTTCTCTTAAATTTTTGTCATTTCTATAATCTACCATGTTGCACTTTAAAAGAGCATACCAAGGAATCCATATGTTCACCTAGGGTTTGTTAGCATGAGTCACCTACCCAAGAGATGAGGAAAGATGTAACAAGAGACAAGTATCATAGATTTCTACAAGTACAGAAAAAATACACTAATTTCTTACTACGTCCTGTCCCTGGCACTGATGTCCTTGTACATTAGTTGGAAGCAAGTTACAACTTACAGTCAGATTAGTCTGACTGGTAAGGTTGTAAGAGAGGACATTGCAGGCTGAAGTGATCTTGTACAAAAGGTGTGAAATTCATTTGTCCAACCTAGCCGAGTCTTAGAGAGAAAAGCAAGAAACATAAACCTGGGAGAGCATCTTCTCTGCAGCTACATCAGGGGAAAGATGCTCACTCCCACTGCTCTTCACTATTACACTGTCCAGTAAGTAGGATGGGAGGTGTATGGTCCTGTGGAGGCTCGATGCCCCCGAGAAGGGGGGTGCTAGAGGGGTAAGGTAGGAGTGGGTGGGTGAGTACCCTATCAGAGGCAAAGGGGATGGGGTGGGGCATTAGTGGAGGGTAGACCAGGAAGGAGGACATCTGAAATGTAAGCAAATAAAATAATTAAAAATAAAAAGACTAAGAGTGAGACAAGAAAAAGGCAAGAACCAGAACTGTAATTATTTATAGGTGACTGCTACTCAGACAACTCAAGAGCCTCTACCAGTGTGATCTTAGAACCTACAACTGGGGTGGGTATAGCTTTAATCTGTTCTTTAACAACAGTATCCATGAAAAGATTCCGCTCTTGTCTGTATTTACTGTTCTACCAGCCTTCACTCGCATCTGTAACTCACCCCACCTGAGTTCTGATTGACCTGCGCTGGATTTTCACTGATATGCTTCCGTAGTTCTTTTCCTGAACATTTCACAAGCTATCTTAAAAATGTAGCTCAAAATCCACTTTAGCCACACTCTATACATTTCAATATATAGTTGAATTTTAATTTATAAAAGTTACTTCTTGGCTCATGAGTCACTGGTATTTCATAAGTCCACAAGGGTGATGCTTTGTATATGTTTGGCATAGGGAGTGGCACTATTAGAAGGTGTAGCCCTGATGGAGTAGGTGTAGCCTTGTTGGAGTACGTGTGTCACTGTGGGTATGGGCCCTCATGCTAGCTGCCTGGAAGGCAGTATTCTGCTAGCAGCCTTCAGATGAAGACGTAGAACTCCCAGCTCCTCCTGCACCATGCCTGTCTGGATGCTGCCATGCTCCCGCCTTGGTTATACTGGACTGAACCTCTGAACCTGTAAGCCAGCTCCAATTAAATGTTGTCCTTTATAAGAGTTGCCTTGGTCATGGGATCTGTCACACCAGTAAAACCCTAACCAGACAATAAGCAAACATATTTTTCTTTGTTAATGAGCCTTTATTGACTAAACTCAACTACTCTATGTCAAATACTAAAAGTAAATATATCTACTCTTTGGAATTTGTTGACTATGCTTAATTATGTAATAAGCAGTCTTTATATTTCTCTTTATTCTCTAATGACTAGGAAAGAAATCTCTATATATCATCTATAAATTTTGTATTTTATAATTTCTCCCATATAGGTCAGTTTTGATTTGAGAAATCTCTATATATAGTCAATAAATTTTATACTTTATAATTTCACCCATATAGGCCAGTTTTGTTTTATGCATTTTGAGAAATTTCTATATATAATCTATGAATTTTATATTTTATAATTTCTCCTAAATAGGTGTTTTGTACATTTTGAGACTTGAGGGCATACATGGTTTTCATTTCTTCTTGTCATTGATGTTAAATGGGGACCCATAAATGACTT